TCACTACACCGGAGGTCCTGTCTGGCGCCATCTAGCTGTCTAAACCAACATCCTGTCACCTCGCTCCTGTCCCTTCTCCAGGCTTCAATCATGCTCTCCACAACACCCATGCTCCCCATTATGCTCATGCTCTCCACTTCACCCCGTGCTCCCATTACACCCATGCTCCCCACTATACCCATGCTCCCCACTACACCCATGCTCCCCACTACACCCATGCTCCCCACTACACCCATGCTCCCATTACACCCCGTGCTCCACATTATACCCATGCTCCCCACTACACCCATGCTCCCCATTCATCCCATGCTCCCCACTACACCCATGCTCCCCACACAGCCCATGCTCCCCACTACACCCATGCTCCCCACTACACCCATGCTCCCATTACACCCCGTGCTCCACATTATACCCATGCTCCCCACTACACCCATGCTTCCCACAAAAGTCATGCTCCCCACTACACCCATGCTTCCCACAAAAGTCATGCTCCCCACTACACCCATGCTTCCCACAAAAGTCATGCTCCCCACTACACCCATGCTTCCCACAAAATCATGCTCCCCACTACACCCATGCTTCCCACAAAGTCATGCTCCCCACTACACCCATGCTTCCCACAAAAGTCATGCTCCCCACTACACCCATGCTTCCCACAAGTCATGCTCCCCACTACAACCATGCTCGCCTCTTCAACCTTACCTCCCAATACATGTATGCTCCTCACACCGTCCATGCTCCCAGCTGCAACTACGCTCCCCATTACAGCAATACTTCCCACTTCACTCATACTCTGCAAATTCTAATCACACGATAGAACGAATAACCACAACCATGTTCACCACAACCATGTTCACCACAACCATGTTCACCACAACCATGTTCACCACAACCATGTTCACCACAACCATGTTCACCACAACCATGTTCACTACAACCATGTTCACCACAACCATGTTCACCACAACCATGTTCACCACAACCATGTTCACTACAACCATGTTCACCACAACTATGTTCACCACAACCATGTTCACCACAACCATGTTCACCACAACCTTCAACCAAACTGTTCACCACAACCATTGTTCACCACAACCTTGTTCACCACAACCATGTTCACCACAACCATGTTCACCACAACCTTGTTCACCACAACCATGTTCACCACAACCATGTTCACCACAACCATGTTCACCACAACCATGTTCACCACAACCATGTTCACCACAACCATGTTCACCACAACCATGTTCACCACAACCTTGTTCACAACAACCATGTTCACCACAACCATGTTCACCACAACCATGTTCACCACAACCTTGTTCACCACAACCTTGTTCACCACAACCATGTTCACCACAACCATGTTCACCACAACCATGTTCACCACAACCTTGTTCACCACAACCATTGTTCACCACAACCATGTTCACCACAACCATGTTCACCACAACCATGTTCACCACAACCATGTTCACCACAACCATGTTCACCACAACCATGTTCACCACAACCATGTTCACCACAACCATGTTCACCACAACCATGTTCACCACAACCTTGTTCACCACAACCATGTTCACCACAACCATGTTCACCACAACCTTGTTCACCACAACCTTGTTCACCACAACCTTTGTCACCACAACCATGTTCACCAACACACCATGTTCACCACAACCATGTTCACTACACAACCATGTTCACCACACCATGTTCACCACAACCATGTTCACCACAACCATTGTTCACCACAACCATGTTCACACCAACCATGTTCACCACAACCATGTTCACCCACAACCATGTTCACCACAACCATGTTCACCACAACCTTGTTCACCACAACCATGTTCACCACAACCATGTTCACCACAACCATGTTCACCACAACCATTCTTTCTACCACATCCATGCCCTCTACCACAACCATGCTTTCTACCACATCCATGCCCTCTACCACAACCATGCCTCTATATCACAACTTTGCGACCACTACACTCATGCTCCACTACACCATTCTCACCTTACAACCCATGCTCCCCACTTTATAACTTCTACCCCAATAAACCCCTACATTTCACCTATGCATCACACTACAGCTCTGCTCCCACTACATTGCTCACTTACTAATTCATGCTCCCCACTACACCCTGTAACAAGCTCACCAACCTAACCTCTACTACACTTCTAAACCACTACACTACCACCACAACTCTAGTCAAATCAATGCTAACCATGCTTCTTGCCACACAGTACATTCTAGTCTTATGCATTGCTAAGAATCACACTCCTAAGCACAAGGAATGCTAACCCCTTCACTGCTAACCATTGCACTTCTAACCATCACACTGATAACCACAACAGTGCCAACCACTATGCTAACTACTGCACTCTTAGCCACCACAGCTCCTACCACTTCACTGTTAATCACTGCACTGCTGACCATCACGCTGCTAACACGTAACATTGCTAACCACTGCACTACTACTACACTTCTAACGATTACCTTGCTAACTGCTTCATTGCTAAACACTACACTTCTAACCATTACACTGCTATCCACTACACTGCTAACCACTACACTGCTTACCACTATTCTGCTAACCACTAGACCGCTAACCACAACACCCCTAATCACTACACTCGTGACTACTGAATTCCTAACTACTTCACTGCTAACCACAACATTACATTCCAAACCACTACGCTCCTGACCATTTCACTGCTAACCATTAGACTGCTAATCAAGTCACTCCTAACCACTACGCTGCTAACTATTGCTCTTTTAACCTTTGCACAGCTAACTACCACATCCACTCCTAACCACTACATACACCCTTCCCTCCCTGGGAACGAGAGCCTTCACAATTGTACTGTGTTGGTGTCACAACAGTAGTTAACTCCCTCTTCCCCTTACTCTGTTTTATTCTTTCTTCGTGCCTCTTCCTTGTCCACTTGGCCTTCTTTTCTTTTCCTCCTCTATGCATTGCTTCCTTCCCTATCACACTCCCTCCTCTCTCACTTCTTACACACACTGTTTACTTCTCACACACTCCCTCCTCTCATTCACACAGTCCCTTCTCTGTCTTACTCTTTTCCTCTTTCACAGACACTTCTTACCCCTGACACACTCCCTTCTCTATCTCACTTCTTACCTTAACAGCCTAAAACACTCCCTCTTCTATCTCAACTCCTCTCACACAAACACACTCTCCCCTCACACACTCTCTAGCACCCATCCTTCCTTCCCCCACCTCCCTAGCATCACCATCTCTCCACCCCTCCATCAACGCACCTACAAGCCCAACCACTGATGAAGTAACATATAGAGCAACGCTAATAAATGGTTCCAGTGTTTGTGATAATATATGGAGAGAGGCCATGTTAAAATGTTAGAGGCTGATGTGGCCTTGGTAATCACAGCGTCGTCACCAGAGGTACAGATGCTGGCAGATAGGCAGGGCGGTCTTCCTCGCGCCTTTGAAATATTATTTGCTCATTGTGTGCACCCAGAGAATATTATTGAAGGCTGAGTCGCTACGTATCGCTCGCTTCTAAGCTCGTTTGAATTTGAAGGTTCTCGTGATGTCTGGCCTTCGGGGTTTGAAGTTGTTGAATGGAAAGCTTCAAGCTTCAATGGAATGGAAAATGATATTAACATTATATGTATCTATGTTCGTAATAAGTGTTGAGCTATGGAATGGCTGGTATAGCTGACGTACCATTAGAAATGGAACGCACGAAACATTGTGAGGACGAGCCATTATGATTGTGTCAACCCCCCATAACAAGAGGAGATTGCCTGGTGAGTCCTGGGCGGTGATTGGTGGAGGCGGCGGGTGACGCCCCCGGGCGGAGCCAACCACAAGATTAAGCTGCTCACCGCAACACAATTTTACCGCGCGTCGGGGGAAGTGGAAGTGATCTGGGGTCCCGAGGGGGAGATGCCTTCACCCTACACCGTCTGCCACTTCACCTGACGCAGGAGTCATCCTGCAGCGGGTCATTGTTCACTCCTGATATGCTAATGTTTCTCTGAAGCTCAGTCCTGACCCCTCACTCACCTCACACCCGCTCGCTTCTGCCCGAATTTAGAATTCCTTTTGTACCCACAAAATTTATAACTATCCACGTCAACTGTCTAACTAGGAGCAGTGATTCGCTTTCGGGCATTTAGAACTAAAGTGACACATGTCCACATCTGGTAAGAAAAGATTAGATTTCAATTTTTAAGTTAAGCGTAACTTACTTCTGAAATAAATTGGTCTAATTTAGCAGCTATTATTTTTTTTTTTTTACATTTAATCAACAAAGATTTTTTTTTATTTACACTCAATATTTAAACACATCTAAACAACTGGTGATATCACAAACTCAAAAGTGTTACTAACTTTAAGTTAGAACAGCGATTAAAACAACATATTAAGCTCGGCGAGAATTACAAGAATTACAAGCTAGGAAGACGGTGATAAGAAAATAAATTTCCCTGGTGATGTGACGATATTAGAGCGACAGAGCAGAATTGAATTAACCAGAGGGATTAAAACATGGCCCCCCTCCCCTCCCCTCCACCGTCACCCTCCCCCTCCTCCGCCTCAAGTCTGCTAATCGTTAGAACATAAAAAGTCAAGTATATAAGTGTTGGTGTTACGCCCATGACCCCGCCCACCCCTCACACTGACTCCACTTCCCCCGCCGCCCCTGTCACTCAGCCTCCCCGCCCCCTCCACCAGGCTCCTCCTCGCTCCCACCTCCCTTATCATTCTCCATAAATTGAACCTTTTCTCGCCTTCGAGAGCAACCAGTATACGTTTGAGTGCTCAATTATGCTTTCCCAGCACGCTCTACAGGTGAGAATCACTCCAGAAGTGCTAGAGACAGAGTGAACGCGGCTGGAAAGTGAAAAAACATGAGGGTTGCAGCCCGAGTTGGCATCTGTGTGAGGCTCCCTCCCCCAAGTGTCATGGCGGCTCTCACAGCTTCATCAACCCCGGCCTCTCGCGCGCGATTTCCTTAAGCAAGACCTTTTGTAACCCAGTGGCCGGGACCTCCTCGGTATTGCTGTGGTGCTGTGTCGTGCCACCGCCGCTGTGTGTGTGAGTGCTGTTGCATGGTGTCAGTGTTACAGAGCGGAAATCAATAGTGCAGTCCGTTTAAAATAAAAATTATTGAGAGGATCTGATCACCAAGTCGATTTGGATTGGGCGGGTATCGCGGAGCGGGCGGCGGGCGGCGCGGCTCGCATGCCGCCCCGTATTGATGTTGCGTGTTTAATGAATGTGTTTCAGTGAATGTGATTATGACAGAACGTCAGCGGGTGTCGTTTACCCGAGTAGTTCGTCAACGGAGAGACACTTCCCCCCACAACACTTGTACCGGCAAGTGTAGAAACAGTCAGCTTAAGTGGGCGTCGCGCGAAACACTTAGGCAGCAGCGAGAAGCAGAATAATTGATGTTGGTATGTTGCATGTTGGCTAATTATGTTGTTGGTGACCGTAAATATTAATTTTGGCGAGGAATGGAAGGCAAGAGAGAGAGTTTAATTTGGCGCTTCGCTAATTCGCGCATATCTTAGGGGAAAATTATATACCACCCACAGTATACCCACCGCCGCCCACCACTTCGTAAAACACCGCCCACCAGTACCTTTCATGCCGACTACCAGTGTCCATAATGCCGCCTACTATACACAAGATGCCACCCACAGTACATATAACAATGCCCACCAACACTTGAAATGACTCACGAAATGACCATCCACCAGTACACAAAATACCGCCCAGTACGCACGCCATACCACCTACCAGTACTTAAGATGCCGCCCACCAGTACATATGCCGCCCACCTGTACATATGCCACCCACCAGTACATATGCCACCCACCAGTACATATGCCACCCACCAGTACATATGGCACCCACCAGCACATATGGCGCCACCCACCAGTAAACTACCACCACTACACCAACACCACTACCACTCCACCAACACTACCAGTAATCCGCCACCAGTATACTATTACAGCCAGTACACCACTGCAAGTACATCAGTAGTACTAGTATAACAGCACATCCAGTACACCGTCACTACTGATAATTCACCACCAGTACACAGTCACTACTGGTAATTCACCACCACCAGTACACCACTTCAAGTCTACCAGCACTGCCAGTCCACTATCACTACCAATCCACCATTACTACCAGTCCACTATTATTACAAGTCCACCAGCACTACCAGTCCACCATCAGTACCAGTCCACCATTACTACCAGTCCACCATTACTATCGGTCCACCATCACTACCAGTCCACCATTATTACCAGTCCACCAGCACAACAAGTCCACCATCACTACTAGTCCACCATTACTGCAAGTCCACCATCACTACCAGTCCACCATTACTACTAGTCCACCATTACTACCAGTCCACCATTACTACCGGTCCACCATCACTACCAGTCCACCATCACTACCAGTCCACCATTTCTGCAAGTCCACTAGCACTACCAGTCCACCATTACTACCAATCAACCATCACTACCAGTCCACCATCACTACCAGTCTACCATCACTACCAGTCTACCATCACTACCAGTCCACCATCACTACCAGTCCACCATCACTACCAGTCCACCCTTGATACAAGTCCACCATCACTACCAGTCCACCATTACTACCAATCAACCATTACTACAAGTCCACCATCACTACCAGTCCACCATTACTACCAATCAACCATTACTACAAGTCCACCATCACTACCAGTCCACCATCACTACCAGTCCACCCTTGATACAAGTCCACCATCACTACCAGTCCACCATTGCTACAAGTCCACCATCACTACCAGTCCACCATTACTATCGGTCCACCATCACTACCAGTCCACCATTATTACCAGTCCACCAGCACTACCAGTCTACCATCACTACTAGTCCACCATTACCGCAAGTCCACCATCACTACCAGTCCACCATTACTACCAGTCCACCGTTATTACCAGTCCACCAGCACTACCAGTCCACCATCACTACCAGTCCACCATTTCTGCAAGTCCACCAGCGCTACCAGTCCACCATTACTACCAATCAACCATCACTACCAGTCCACCATCACTACCAGTCTACCATCACTACCAGTCTACCATCACTTCCAGTCCACCATCACACCAGTCCACCATCACTACTAGTCCACCATTACTGCAAGTCCACCATCACTACCAGTCCACCATTACTACCAGACCACCAGCACTACCAGTCCACCATCACTACCAGTCCACCATTTCTGCAAGTCCACCAGCGCTACCAGTCCACCATTACTACCAATCAACCATCACTACCAGTCCACCATCACTACCAGTCTACCATCACTACCAGTCTACCATCACTTCCAGTCCACCATCACTACCAGTCCACCATCACTATCAGTCCACCATCACTACCAGTCCACCATCACTACCAGTCCGCCATCACTACCAGTCCACCATCACTAGCAGTCCACCATCACTACCAGTCCACCATCACTACCAGTCCACCATCACTAGCAGTCCACCATCACTACCAGTCCACCATCACCACCAGTCCACTATCGCTACCAGTCCACTATTACTACCAGTCCACCATTGCTACCAGTCCACCAGCACTACCAGTCCACCATCACTACCAATCCACCATTACTACCAATCAACCATTACCACAAGTCCACCATCACTACCAGTCCACCATTACTACCAGTCCACCATGACTACCAGTCCACCATTGCTACAAGTCCACCATCACTACCAGTCCACCATTACTATCAGTCCACCATCACTACCAGTCCACCATTATTACCAGTCCACCAGCACTACCAGTCCACCATTACTACCAGTCCACCATTACTATCGGTCCACCATCACTACCAGTCCACCATTATTACCAGTCCACCAGCACAACAAGTCCACCATCACTACTAGTCCACCATTACTGCAAGTCCACCATCACTACCAGTCCACCATTACTACTAGTCCACCATTACTACCAGTCCACCATTACTACCGGTCCACCATCACTACCAGTCCACCATCACTACCAGTCCACCATTTCTGCAAGTCCACCATCACTACCAGTCCACCATTACTACCAGTCCACCGTTATTACCAGTCCACCAACACTACCAGTCCACCATCACTACCAGTCCACCATTTCTGCAAGTCCACCAGCGCTACCAGTCCACCATTACTACCAATCATCCATCACTACCAGTCCACCATCACTACCAGTCTACCATCACTACCAGTCTACCATCACTTCCAGTCCACCATCACTACCAGTCCACCATCACTACTAGTCCACCATTACTGCAAGTCCACCATCACTACCAGTCCACCATTACTACCAGACCACCAGCACTACCAGTCCACCATCACTACCAGTCCACCATTTCTGCAAGTCCACCAGCGCTACCAGTCCACCATTACTACCAATCAACCATCACTACCAGTCCACCATCACTACCAGTCTACCATCACTACCAGTCTACCATCACTACCAGTCCACCATCACTACCAGTCCACCATCACTATCAGTCCACCATCACTACCAGTCCACCATCACTACCAGTCCACCATCACTACCAGTCCACCATCACTAGCAGTCCACCATCACTACCAGTCCACCATCACTACCAGTCCACCATCACAGCAGTCCATCACTACCAGTCCACCATCACCACCAGTCCACTATCGCTACCAGTCCACTATTACTACCAGTCCACCATTGCTACCAGTCCACCAGCACTACCAGTCCACCATTACTACCAATCAACCATCACTACCAGTCCACCATCACTACCAGCCCACCATCACTACTAGTCCACCATCACTACCAATCCACCATTACTACCAGTCAACCATTACCACAAGTCCACCATCACTACCAGTCCACCATTACTACCAGTCCACCATCACTACCAGTCCACCATTGCCACAAGTCCACCATCACTACCAGTCCACCATTACTATCAGTCCACCATCACTACCAGTCCACCATTATTACCAGTCCACCAGCACTACCAGTCCACCATCACTACTAGTCCACCATTACTGCAAGTCCACCATCACTACCAGTCCACCATTACTACCAGTCCACCATTACTACCGGTCCACCATCACTACCAGTCCACCATCACTACCAGTCCACCATTTCTGCAAGTCCACCAGCACTACCAGTCCACCATTACTACCAATCAACCATCACTGCCAGTCCACCATCACTACCAGTCTACCATCACTACCAGTCTACCATCACTACCAGTCCACCATCACTGCCAGTCCACCATCACTACCAGTCCACCATTGCTACAAGTCCACCATCACTACCAGTCCACCATTACTACCAGTCAACCATTACTACAAGTCCACCATCACTACCAGTCCACCATCACTACCAGTCTACCATCACTATCAGTCCACCATTGCTAAAAGTCCACCATCGCTACCAGTCCACCATCGCTACCAGTCCATCATCACTACCAGTCCACCATCACTACCAGTCCACCATCACTACCAGTCCACCATCACTACCAGTCCACCATCACTAACAGTCCACCATCACCACCAGTCCACTATCGCTACCAGTCCACTATTACTACCAGTCCACCATTGCTACCAGTCCACCAGCACTACCAGTCCACCATTACTACCAATCAACCATCACTACCAGCTCACCATCACTTCCAGCCCACCATCACTACCAGTCCACCATCACTACCAGTCCACCATCACTAACAGTCCACCATCACCACCAGTCCACTATCGCTACCAGTCCACTATTACTACCAGTCTACCATTGCTACCAGTCCACCAGCACTACCATTCCACCATTACTACCAATCAACCATCACTTCCAGCTCACCATCACTACTAGTCCACCATCACTACCAGTCCACCATCACTACCAGTCCAACATTACTACAAATCCACCATCACTACCAGTCCACCATCACTACCAGTATACCTTTACCATCATCAATACAGCACCTCCAGTTCACTACCACCAGTACACCACCATCAGTAGACCAAAACTTGAACAACCAGTAAACCACTCACAGTACAC